TCTGTTACGTATTCTCCACTCTCAATATTTCTCTTCCATATCTATAGGAGGAGGGGTGACTACTCTGTTACACTTCCACTTCTGAATTTCTAAATTTTCTATAAGAAATAAATTAAAAACTCTCTCTCCTACTCAGGGGCGTAATTCCAGCAATATTTTTCTCTTTCTCCTGTGTAATAAAAAACCTTATTTCACCTCTATAGGATCTTTCTTATCAGCATCCAGCTTTTATTTCTTCCATCTGAAATGTTCTCTTGCTTTTATTTTTTTCCTTCAGCTACTGATAGTTCTGCCCTTCATTTTGCAGCTATATTTCTCCCAAGTGTCATCAAACTCATATTTCTTTCATCTCATTCCTTTAATCTCCTTCATCTTGCCTTCTCAAACACTCCACTTAAACTGATCTTTTAAATTTCACTCATTGAAATGGCTATATCTAATATTTGTTAGTCCTCATCTTACATGACTTCTCAGCAGCATTTGACACAGTTGATCTCTCCTTCCTCTTGAAAATTGTTATGGTCTAAATATGTTCCCCCAAATCCATGTTGATACTTAATTACCACTGTGATGGTATTAAAAAGTATTATTAATAAAACAGTTACCAAAATATTGTTAGGGACCGACCTTCCACAGCCCCACCGGACAGAAAAGCAGAGACATTGAGGATGCAATCACACAAGAGGAGGTTTATTTTCTGGCTAGCCAGGGTCCAAGCCCCAGAGAACCAACGCAGTGGCCACTCTCGCAGGCAAGGACCCCGACCGGAAAAACGACATGCCTTTTATCCCCATGGTGCACAAGCCGCGCACATGCCTACTACGCATGGATCATGCGTTGACCTTTAAAGTGATTGATTGCCCACTATTGCCTTTTGAAATAATTGGCGGGTTGGTTGCCCTCTATTGCCTGATGGGCCAGTCGCCTGTGCTTCAATGACCTCACCCCATAATTCCCCTTACAGCGGTGTAGCAAGCAAGCAATGACCAGAAGCAAAGGTTTGCGGTTAGCTCATTGCCCCACCCAAGTAAATTCCCGACAATTGGAAAAACTCCTCTGCCCTTCCTCTGTCCTACAAATTCCTCCGCCCTACAATATAAAGACATATCCCCCATATCCAGAATGCACATATCTGTGAATCAAAGAGTAGAGGTGGGAATAACTCTTCTCATATTACTCAGTAATCCATTTGGAGAATTTTATATCTTATCCTTTTGACCTTAATCTCTGAGAGATTGAGGGTTCTTGTGCCCATTGGACAAATGTTTCCACTAGGAAGCATTGCCACCTTTTAAATCAATTGAAATTTGAGAACTGCTTTTGGTCATTTTAGTCCTTTCATGCCACTGAACCAATAGGCAGAGAAAAATGTCCTTCTCGCTGGAATGATGGGTCCCAGTATCCAGGAGATAATTGAGTGTCTGCTGTCTAGTAGAAGTAAACATACTACTAACCCAGGGAAGCCTCTAAATATTTTTGCCCACAAGCCCTGGTCAATTAAAAGTTGTAGCAAAACCATCAAGAAAAGATCACAAGGACAGATACCATAGGAATAAAGGCATACTTTATATTGTCATGTAAAGAATCCTGACAAAGATCAGGATAATGAGGAATGAATTTTAGGAGGAGGAAACTGTGATTACTTTTTTTCTTTTTCAAACAGTCTCACTTTGTCACCCAGGCTGGAATGCAACTGCAGTTGTGTGATCATAGCTGACTGCAACCTGGAACTTCAGGGTTCAAACCATCCTCCCACCTTGGCTTTTCCCAAGTGCTGGGAGTATAGGCATGGGCCACCATGCCCAGTTTGCGATTACTAATTTAAACCTCATGATAATCTACAGAAGAATTCATAGCAGCTTGTTGCATTGCTAACTAATTATACCTTACTTTGTATCTGAGTACCTTCTAAGAGGGTGATAACATTTTAGGTTTAACGTAGGATTATGAACAAACTGATATAACCCTATGAGCTGGCTGTGATTTCACACATGCTATGCTGGAATATAGATTTTTGACTTGAGCAATGTCAAAGGACAAAAGGAATGGACCGTGCCAGGGATTTACTGTTGGTCTAGATTTTCTCTCCCCTTGCTTTACCCCATGTCCCCAGGACACTGACCTATATATGAATTTAGTCCTTGCCTTTTGGCTTCAAGTTGGATTTGGCCAATGGCCAATTTTCCTACTAATTGAGAATTGGATTGGATAAGTAATAACACCATACTTTCTTTTCTAAATTTGAATCCACCTCAGAGAGTTGTGAGAATTGAACACATTCATGTTACATAGTAGTCCATAAGTGGTGGGACAAAATATCTCTTTCGTGTTTCCTCTAAAGGTTCACTCTGTTTCTTTGGGCCTCACATATTCATTTTGAAGCTTCCATATTATGGGGCAAAGCTGGATTATTTCCCAGTATTGGAAAAATGAAAGGATTTGTTCGATCTGGAGGAAAAACTCTCGCATATACGCATATACCTTATAATTGTTTTATATTACCTTCTATTTGCAATGACTGAGGCATTTAAAACTCTTACTGGAGTATGTCAAATTAATAGATTTTGTAGACAGTCCAAATTTTCTCATTTCTCTAAAAATAAAATGCATCTCCCTTGAATTCCATGATGAAAGTAAAACAATACCAGCTATGTATTCTAAAGTTAGTCTCACAGACACCATCATAGACATTACTCAACAGTGGTATTTACAATTATGTTACAGTATGTCATAGACATGGAAATGCATTGCCCAGGTCCTCCTTCAAGGAAGGACTTGCTGTCAAACTGCAGAGAGCAGAGTTAGTAGATAGGCACCAGCTGTCAGCTCCTGCAGTGTGTGCCTCAGTTGCAGAGTTCCACCCTATGTAAGGCCATACCCTTCTCCAGGGCAGTCCTCTTCCAGTGGAGCAATGTGGGGATAAGAAGCATGGTCCAAAAAAAACCAAACATTTATCGGGTGTTGGGCAGGTGGGAGGGGGATGGAGGGAATGGGTATATACTTACATGAATGCTGTGTGCACCATCTGGAGGGTGGACACGCTTAAAGCTGACTCAAGGGGAGAGGGGAGGCAAGGGCAATATATGTAACCATAACATTTGTACCCCCATAATGAAATGGGGGTACAAATGATGAAATAAAAATGAAATAAAAATTAATTAAAAAAAAAAAAAAGAAGCTTGGGCCAGAGCCCTGTTGGCCAAAAGTGGGGCAACTCTCCCTGGCAGTATTGGCTTTAGAGCTCTCCATTGAGTTGGTTGAGCATTTATCTGGTCTGTACCGTTGGACATTGTCCTCTGCCCAATCCTAGTTCTTCTGCCTTTCACAGATGTTGATCCCTAATAAACACCTTGTACTCCAAGATATAATCATCTCTCTCAGCATCTGCATATCAAGAACCCAATATGTGTCACCATATCGTAAATTTTTCTTTCTGGATCTCTTCCATTTTATCATTTTTCTATACAATGCTTCTTCAGGCAAAGATGGGGTAAGCAAATCTGTATTGAATTATAAACTGTCCTCTTAAATCTTTTAAGTTTGTGAACCATACAAAATTATATTTTTATGCTGTCTTTTTTAAAAAAGTGGCTTAGGTTCCACAGCTTTTTCTACCTAGCTACTTTGTGTTATCAAGCTTATCTCAGATCAGGATTGCTATTGCTTTTGATTACTTTTTCACATTAATTTACATATCCTACAAAGCCCTATTATTATGGTTTTTCTCCTCCCCATTCCCCTAAAACTCCCCCTTCCCCTCATGTATTACTTGCTTTTACTTAGCCTCATAGGCCTTCTGGTTATTCTCACAAAATGCCAAACATTTTGTCTTAAGGCCTTTGCACTTCCAGTTGCCTTTTCATGAGAGCTGTCTCATTTTCTAAATTCAAGTAAGCTCTCTGATCAAGTAACACTTTCAAAGAGGTTATTTTTGCTAATCTCTATCTAAAATAGTTCCCATTATGTGTTAGTTTACCTCCTTAGTATTTTTGCTCATAGGATATATATTACTTGACATATTACATATATATTACTTGACATATTTTCTAATAGGATATATATCACATATTACACGTTTACATGCTTGTTTCTCCAATCTAGAAGTAACTTACGTGGTGGTAGATTTTCTAGGTGACATTCACTGTTGTATCCTAAGTTACTGGAAGAGTGCATTAAGTGAATACATGTGTTTCAAATAAATAGGGCCAAAGATTTAACGAGATCCAAGAAGTTCTGCATATTTTTAACCAATTTAACCAACAAATCAAATTCTCGTAACTGCTATTAGAAACCAATCCTAAGGAACGGAAATGGTTACTAAGAGTATTTTAAGAATTCCATCACCTGTGACTCTTTTTGAGACAGTCTCGCCTTGTTGCCCAGGCTAGAGTGAGTGTCATGGTATCAGCCTAGCTCACAGCAACCCCAAACTCCTGGGCTCAAGTGATCCTCCTGCCTCAGCCTCCCGAGTAGCTAGGACTACAGGCACGCGCCACCATGCCCGGCTAATTTCCCCTATGTATATTAGTTGGCCAATTAATTTGTTTCTATTTATAGTAGAGACGGGTCTCGCTCGGGCTGGTTTCAAACTCCTGACCTGGAGCAATCCGTCCGCCTCGGCATCCCAGTGTTAGAATTACAGGCGTGAGCCACCGCGCCCGGCCCACCTGTGACTCTGGTTTATTCCTGTGGACTCGACCAGTGTAGTACCCAAAAGCGCCAAAGTTGCTTTTGAAGGGTCATCGGTCTATTGCACTCAGGGTTACTAACATTATTAGGCAAGAACTAAAAAGCAGGTTTCACAGATTGGCGGTTAACTTCACCTGTTATTCCTACTAAGCCTCAACATACTAACCCTGTCAGCCCCTACTGCCTTCTAGTAGACCCATTTATGTACACTTAAGAATTGCTTCACTTCCCTCGCCTTGAGAAGGAACATTTTACAATGTGACAGTCAAAATCGTTATAACAGAAGGTGTGTTCAGCTTCTTCTAAGATAATTTAAGTGGCTCTGAAAAGAGCCTTTGTTTTTCGGTTTTCCTAACCTCGCTCCTCACTTGGCTTTGTGGTGGCTCTCGGTCTTCTTGGGCAGCAGCACGGCCTGGATGTTGGGCAGGACGCCGCCCTGAGCGATGGTGACTTTGCCCAGCAGCTTGTTGAGCTCCTCGTCGTTGCGGATGGCCAGCTGCAGGTGGCGCGGGATGATGCGCGTCTTCTTGTTGTCGCGAGCCGCGTTGCCCGCCAGCTCCAGGATCTCGGCGGTCAGATACTCCAGCACCGCCGCCAGGTACACCGGGGCGCCGGCTCCGACCCGCTCGGCATAGTTGCCCTTGCGGAGCAGACGGTGCACTCGGCCCACGGGGAACTGAAGGCCGGCCCGGGAAGAGCGGGTCTTGGCTTTGGCGCGAGCTTTGCCTCCCTGCTTGCCGCGTCCAGACATACTGACCTGGATCAGTTCCCTACCTGTTACAAGTAAAGCCAAAATCTACGGGTGGCGCTTTTTATAACCATATTGGGCGCGAAAAAGCAGACATGTCATAGGTTAAGAGTGCAGCTTCATTTCAACCAATGGAGATGCGACTTCAGGATTTGCGGATCCTGATTGGGCAAAACTAGTCTCGACCAACTACCAATCAGACATAAGACTTTAACTTCTCCTTATTTGCATAAGCCGTCCTATATAAAGAGGACACATCGTGCATTGCTCACATTGGCTCAGCTTTTTTCAGGGTGATTTGTCGGCGTTTCAATCATGCCTGAGCCAGCGAAATCCGCCCCTGCGCCTAAGAAGGGCTCTAAGAAGGCTGTGACTAAAGCCCAGAAAAAAGATGGCAAAAAGCGTAAGCGCAGTCGCAAGGAGAGCTACTCCATCTATGTTTACAAAGTGCTGAAACAGGTTCATCCGGACACCGGCATCTCCTCGAAGGCCATGGGCATCATGAACTCGTTCGTCAACGACATCTTCGAGCGCATCGCGGGCGAGGCCTCTCGCCTGGCGCATTACAACAAGCGCTCGACCATCACCTCCAGGGAGATCCAGACGGCGGTGCGCCTGCTGCTGCCGGGAGAGCTGGCCAAGCACGC